GATCTTATTTTAAATCTTCTTATATATATGTACTGAATTTAAGATGATATTCATAAAGTTTTGCTTTCTTCGAATTTTTTTTTTCTTTATTAATTTCCCAAAATGGGCAACATTTAAAATTACAACCAGCTGGAATGAAAACTAAAAATAAGAATTACATATTAATATAGCTTAGAACAACTCATGAAACAACAATTTGATCAAGATAATCTGGAAGGAAAGGAAGTAACCTTAGAATTGAATGTACCGGAACCATGTTAACAAATATGACTCAGAATTTGACGGGTTCAAGATAGCAGATGGTTGGATCAGCCGACCAACACCGTCTTTATCTAGACCAGCAAGCTTAGCTCGAAGGAGAAGCTGAATCTCTTTGACAACTGCTTGTTGCGTCTTCACCTGTGAGGAGTGGAGCCTATAATTACGCTCTTTCCAAATATCATACACCACTGCATGAAAAATGAGTTTCACAATTGATTTGAGCTTTTTGTTTCTAGTTGAAGATTGTACCCAGGAAACAATATCCTCAAAGAGCACCGGAGGAGAAAGTTCCGGATGGTTAAGAAAGGTCGTCCAGACCTCATTTGAATAACTGCAATTGAAAAAGAGATGCCCTCTTGATTCCGATGCTGAGGCGCACATAAGGCAACCAGGTGGAATATCAAGTCCCCATCCTCTTAAACGATCACGAGTAGTCAGCCTATCACGCATTGTTATCCAAAGCATAAAAGCATGCTTAGGAATCCGCTGCTTAAACCAAACTGAGCTGAACCATGATACACTAGGAGATGGTGGATGTAAAGAGAGCCAAGTCTTAGAGGATGAAAACACACCTGGAAGATCCAATAAAAAATTTTTCCAGAGATATAAATCATCTTCAGTAGAGAAAAGAGGAGTAGTTGGAATGCAAGATCTAAGCAATACCAAAATAGGATGCCTTCCTCTAGACCTCAACCAAAAATCAGTTTCAAGAGCCTGAAAAACCGATGATGCAGATGAAATTCCAGTAACTCGAGGACCATTATGAGTTATTTGGATGGACTGGCAATTTATACTTTCTGGCTGCATAAGTCATGTGGGTCATAAATTTGTTCGACTCTCATTTCTAATATATGTTACCAAACATGTCTAACAAAAAAAAAATCATGACGGTAAACGTATACCGTAATGAGAGATGTACATGCAGTGTTTCATCACACAACGATTTTTTTTCTAAATAGCATGTCAATTCATGCAGAGCTAGCGTTAATTATTTCCATGTTAGAATTAAAGTTAACCTCTAAATTTAGCCTCGGTATATATGATTGGTAACAAAACATATATTTTTACAATTCGTTTTATACCTTGATACAATTTTTACAAACTAAATATCTAAGCAAAATTTGCAAAGTCAATATACCATTATAGCTACTAAGTAAATTGCAAGCAACGTTGCGATGATAAATCACGCAAACGAGATTAGTACCAGGAGGTCTGAAATCAAAGACCAATGATGACCTAGAGAGCACACAAAATTTAGATCCATACAACTTTATAGATCTCAAAAACCTGGTTTATTTTATTTCTTTAAGTCGAAATTTTGAATCTAATTGACGCTCTTTGTTTTGATTGGGTAGGTCTTCGTTTAAACTCTCTTCCATTAGGATCTGTCTATAAAAAAATGGCTTGAAATTAATTTATTAAATTACAATATATAGTTTGTGGCAAAATTTAGATCTCTTTCCTCGAAGAGCTTATTTGTCGTTCGTTTATTCGTACGGTCGTACCTAACCTAGAGTGGCTTATATAGTTATATGCTTATATGTAATATTCCCTTTGTTTGACCTAATATAGTATTTAGCGGAGCCTTATCTTTCTATTTTTCTTTGCTTATTTCCTTTTGATATTTGTAATCTTTGATTCGGTATACTTAAAAACACTTTTCCGACGTAAAAAAAACACTTTTCCGAATAATTAAAGACTGCTTTTGATAAGAAACG